GAATTAGGCATTAGAACTCTATGTCAAAGTTATTATGCATAATCACATATATAGGTCCCAAAGTTGCTCCAATGGTTGTGTTTAGGTATATTGCTAGTTCAAGTGAGTCATTCAGGCAGGTCTGCTTAAAATTGAGGTGGGATCCATAAAGCTGGTGGCATTAAAAAAAAAATCATGCAAATGAAATCCTGTCCTGCTGATTATTTCTGGGATTTCTTTTTAAGCATTCAGCACCCAGATATACACAGCAGAATTTAGTGCAACGCTTCCTTTTAATAGCCATGAAAATACTCCTGCTTTTCTAGATCCAGCTTCCCCTGAACGTTCAGATGGTAAGCTGATATAAATCACAGTAAAGAGGGTCTTTACTGTATAGTGTTTACCTAGGAGTTGTAGGAGCCATATTTGTGAGACTCCGTAGGCGTTGTCATGCTCTTTGGGGTCTGCACAGGTGCACATGGAGGAATGGCTTCATATGGTGGAGGAGGATGTAGCATGGTTAAAAAACAAAACCCGACATCATACTTCAGTCTGACAAAAAATGTGGTCACCAAAAAATTATTCCAAAGAAATTCACTTGGATTTAGTTAGTGAATGAAAGAATTATGAATTAAAGAATTAATTGTTAATTAATTAAAAGTATTAATGTATAAGAGCATACATATACAAATCATACACATTTTAAAACAACACAAAAAAGTAAAATTACACATTTATGTCCACAAGTAATATCTTACTTTTTGTGAACTGATCTTTCTAGATCTTTTCTGAGTACAAAGCTGCAGGGAACAGCATTTAGACCTCTTTATTCTTCATTCTGAAAAGCCTTTTATCCCATATCTCACACACAGCTATATCCTGTGGAGCAATAACCTTCTCTACTCATGGTGGCTTCACTCATTTGACTTTTATGCCCCACTGCCATTATCATTATCATCATCCTCCCCTTACTTTCAAAATTTACTTTATTTAGAGTCAGTTAGTCAAACCCTTATTTTATTTTTAAATGTATTTATTTATTTATTTTTTGCAGCACATTATTTATTTTTTTCCTGTTATTTTAGGGAGAAAAAAGGTCAAAAGGTACCAGAACAGAACTTTGGGTGATTCATTTTAACAGACAAGATGTGTATAACTAAATAAACAAAAAAGGATGATATTAATATGATAATATAATAACTCTGGGTTTAAGTAAGGAGTAACATTTTAAAGTGATGCATTCTCTCCATTTTGCCCATATTTCCTCAAACTTTAACCACCTGGAGTATCATGAAGAAGGCGATGTTTTACCAGTCTTCTATGCCTGGGATTTCTGGTTTAAGCCACTTCAGATCATAACTCTATAAATGCTATATTATTGACAGCAGTATATTTATAAACACAGTACAAGTATATAGGACAGTATGTTGGACCCCTGTAGTTCTAGGCATCCCCCCCCCCACTCCTGCTCACACACAAATCAATCAAACCATATCTGATGAAAAGAGCTTAAAATGTCTGCTGACTTTGCTTCACAATAGTTTTTAAATGGACTTCCAAAGATCCCAGCAGTGTATTCATGTGTGGATTTGTGACATTAATCAGGAAGTGGCCAATCTGTGTGGGAAATGTAACACCAAAGTCATGGAAGCTTGTGCAAAGTTATTTACCATCATTTAACAATATAGGCTTTATTGTAATGTAATTTATTTGTAAATGTTCCATAATTAGGAATCTTATTTTGACATTTTTCAGTATACAGTTTAAAAAATGAATATTACTGATTTAAGTGCTACAGAATCACCAGTTTATGTCTATATTAATGTTAAAATTGTGCTATTATACTCTATATTATATAACTGACTCATAAATGACTTGAGTATGATATTTTAATTGCTAGAACAACTTGGTTGCTTGGGGGTTAAAAGCCTTTTTACCTTGTGAAGGTACCACATCTTTACTGTTGCAAAAATCCCCCACAGATTTCAATTCA